GAGATTAATCAAACTTCATTTTCCTTAATATTTTTTTTGCTTATCTATAGTATAGCACATTATTTCTTATCTGTAGAAGATTTGCAGACCTAGAATATGATTGACATAACTTGAACACAATTTGGTATTAATTAATATTACCAAATTCCTGTCAGACAGGACTCCCTACTCAGAAAAAGTATGCATCCAAAAGATGCACATTATTTGAAACTTTGCATCCACAGCAAATTCAATGAGTCCTGGCCCGGCTTTCACTAATGTTCTCAAAGTCAAAATCTCAGCCAAAATCTGAGATTTTTCTCAACTCAGAAATTGAGATTGAGATTTTTCTCAGTTTGGCTTTCACTAAAAAATATTGAGAAAAATCTCAACTTAAGATTTGAGATTTTTCTCAGATATATTGAGACAAGGTTTGGCTGTCTCAGATTATGTCTCAGTGAAGCAAAATTATTATTCTCGGGGGTATTTTTACTTTTTGCATGGTTATTTTGATAAATAAACATTATTTGACCTTTTTGGCAAATAAAGTTCCTATTAATTTCATATATTAAGCAATACATTGACTGATTATTGTTGGTGACATCATGCGCTCTAATTCATGACGTAATGAAATTATGACGTCACAATAACCATACAAAAACAATTTATTCAATATTGTTTCCTTTTCTTTTAAAACACTGCTAAAAATTATGTAGATCTACATTCATTCTTGATAAATTATTTCCATTAGCATTCAAATATTCACACATTTTCAATTGCTTCTTAGTCTGGGTTTTTTTTCCGTATTTTTTTAAATAAAACATCCACTTAATAAAATAAATTATATAGAATCTACAAAACATTTCCCTGTTGCGTCATCTCACATCTAAATAGCAACTATATACTATGTAACAAAAAGGAAAACTCCATATTTTACTCATAGAAGGGGTTCAAGCCCATCAACAACACACTTTAAGATAGCCGCTTATCTGTTGAGAAAAAACACAGTCTCAGTTGAGAAAAAAAACCAGTCTCAGTTGAGAAAATTCTCAAATGTTGAGAAAAAGTTTAGTGAAAGCCAACTTGAGATTTTTCTCAGGTAAGTAAGAATCTCGTTCAATATTGAGACAAACTTAAGTTGAGATTTATCTCAGTTTGAGAATGTTAGTGAAAGCCGGGCCTGGACTCAGGATGCAGAGTTAAAAAAATCACTGAAGGTCATATTTCAGCATGTCAAATCATTAGACACATATGCAGCTGTGTCTAATGTTAAGATACAAAGGCCATAGTGTAAGTAATAGATATACCATTGCTGCGTAAATTATACCATAATCACGTGACCTTTCTTATGCCTTAACCTCACGAGCCGAAGTCGAGCAAGGTCACGTGATTATGGTATAATTTACGCAAACCCAGAAATCGCCAACGCACCAATGGTGTATCTGTTTTAACCTATAGCTCCGCCCAGAACGCTTACTCCTTCGATCTTCAAAACTGAAAATTATACCATAGTCTGGGTATGGTATAAAAAATTTACTGTACTTGCATTTCAAAGTTTCATACAGCTATATTATACAATTAATACCTATTTTTTGTCAATGAAAATTCTTCTATTTTTGAATAAATTATTAACCTATAGCTCTTCAGCGCTTCTTATGTAAAATTCTGTAAAAGTATAATTTCCAATAACCGTAAATTATACCATACCCAGACTATGGTATAATTTTCAGTTTTGAAGATCGAAGGAGTAAGTGTTTCTGGGCGGAGCTATAGGTTAAAACAGATACACCATTGGTGCGTTGGCGATTTCTGGGTTTGCGTAAATTATACCATAATCACGTGACCTTTCTTATGCAACCTCACTCGACTTCGTCTCGTGAGGTTTAAGGCATAAGAAAGGTCACGTGATTATGGTATAATTTACGCAGCAATGGTATATCTATCACTTAAATACCATCTTTTCAATTAAACACAAAAATTTGTAACAGAGTTACCAACATCCCCTGCCTCAGGGAAGTTGTATATGAAGCATAAAATTGTGCTATTTCAAAATATTGAGGTATGGATCTCAGGACTTTGTCCAAAATTATGATCAATGCTAGATCTGCAAATGCAACAATAAATTTATTAAAGAAATAAAATGAAACTGGAAAGTGAATCTATCATGTTAAGCTCTAAGTGTGACCTTGACCTTGGAGGTAGGGATGCAGGTGTTGTGCATGACATAACCTTTATTATTGTAACTATTTGTGCCAAGTATCTTTAAAATCCTTTGCAGAAGTTATAGATCAGACACAAAATATAACCTATAACAGACTATGTTAATCTTTGACCTCTAAGTGTGACCTTGACCTTGAAAGTAGGGGTGCAGGTGTTGTACTTGACATATCCTCTTATTATTGTGACTCTTTGTGCCAAGTTATTTCAGAATCCCTTGAACCATGAAGAAGTTCTAGATCAGACAAAAAATAAACCCTATAACAGAATATGTTAGTTATTTACCTCTAAGTGTGACCTTGACCTTGGAGGTAGGGATGCAGGTGTTTTGTATGACACATCGTCTTATAATAGTGACTATTTGTGCCAAGTATTTACAAAATCCTTTGATCTATGAAAATGTTATGGACCGGACACAAAATATACCCTATAACAGAATATGTTTATCTTTGACATCCAAGTGTGACCTTAACATTGGAGGTAGGTGACCGGTTGTTGCGCATGACACATTGTCTCATTATTGTGAACAATTGTGGCAAGTATTTACAAAATCCCTTCAAAGATAAGAAAGTTATTGACCAGACATAACATATATCCTCAAATGTTGACCTTGAATGAGCAAGTGCAACCTTAACCCTGGAGGTAGAGGTCTGGTTGTTGCGCATAACACATCGTCTTATTATAACAAACATTTGTGCCACGTTATATCAAATTCCTTTCACAAATGACAAAGTTATGGACCGAACACGAAAGTGTAATGGACGGACAGACGGACTGAGCCTATTTCTATATCCCCCTTTTTCCTTAGAAAAGGCAAGGAACAAAAAAAGGCACAAACCCTTCAGTTGACATTGAGATACCTTGACCTTCAAGTGTGACCTTGACCTTAGAGGCAGTTAACTGGATGTGGTGCATGACACATTGTTTCATTATGGTGACCTGGGCCTTTTAAATTTCAAACAAAAAGATTATAAAGTGTTTTAATAAGTAAAACTATTAAAACTATTAGTAACCCCGAGACTGGACCCTTTATTGACCCCAGGGGCACAAAGAAAGGATACATGCCAAAAATGATAGTTTCATACAAGAAGTCTTAGAAGTGTTTTCATTTATAAGTCTATATAAACTTTGAAAAGCCCAGGGTAGGGCCAATTTTGACCCCACTGCCAACTTTTGTAGAGGACTACAATGTGATGCTACATGCCAAATATCTATGCTTTGAACACTGTATTTTCTAACTAGAACTATCACTAAATATGATTAATACCCCCGCAAGACTGCTTCAGAAATGAGGATGTTACTAGTAACAAAATACCTTGTAAAAGAATTGAAATAGAGTTATGGTTGTGGGCAATTAAAGATAGTTGTGGTTCTTGTATGTTGCATTTCCTTTCAATGTGGTTGGCCATTGATGAAATTTTATTTAATTACTCTGCAATAAGTCCAGAAAGACAAGGAAAAGAAAATAGGGCAATAACTCTATAAATACTGAAGATGGAGTTATGGTTATTGTACACTGCACTTCCTCTCATTGCACTTGACCATTGTATGAAATGTATTGATTTCCAACTACAAATTTTCAAGTTATGCACAGGACAAAAAAAGTAACAAAGGGCAATAACTGTAATTAGTCCAAATAGAGTAATAGTTCTTGTGCACTGCACTTCATCTCACTGCCCTTGACCATTGTTTAAAGTTTCATTGAATTCCAACCCTTAATTTTCAAGTTATGCACTGGACAATAAAAAGTAACAAAGGGCAAAAGCTTTTAAATGAGTCAAGAAAGAGTTATGATTTCTGTACACTGCGCTTCCTCTCAATATACTTGACCAGACCATTGTATGAAATAGTATTGAATTCTGACTAGAAGCTTTCAAGTTATGCTCTGGACAAAAAAAAGCAATGGAAAAGTAACAAAGGGCAATAACTCTGTAATAAGTCAAGATGGAGTTATGGTTTTTGTGCACTGCACTTCACCTTATTGTGCTTGACCATTGTATGAAGTTGTTTTGAATTCCAACCAATAGTTTTCAAGTTATGCTTCAGACAAGGAAAAGTAACAAAGGGCAGTAACTCTGTAATTAGTCAAGATGGAGTTATGGGTCTTGTGCACTGCACTTCCTCTCAATGTGGTTGTATGAAGATATATTGAATTCCAACCATTAGTCTTCAAGATATGCTCAGGAGAAGGAAAATGTAACAGACCGCTGGACCGACCGACCGACCACCGGGTGACTCCTATATCCCCCCCCCCCCCCCAAAAAAAACTTTGTTTCGGGGGCATAAAAAGATGACTTTTAAAGATTTCATTTTTTAAGTCAATTTCAGTTCATGTGACCTGTGTATGCATAAGACTGGAACCATTTATTGAACTTTTATAGGGCCACCTAAGGATCATTCCTGTGAAATTTGTTTCAAATCCACCAGGTTATATAGAAGATGTTGTTTGAAGAAATTGTGGATGACAGACAACAGAGTTGGACAGACTGCCATTACAAAAGCAGTGAGTATGACTGACAAACAGATGGAATTAAGAAAGCTCTCCCTTCTAAGTTAGAAATGTAGAGTAATGTGAAGAGAGTCTTGTGTACTGCACTCTCAATGAGACCTGTTTCAAACTGAGATCCAAATACTTTTCTGAGTTATGCTTTGTACAAAAATTTGGACTGGAAGGAGACTATTTCTATATCCCCTGCCACATTTCTTGAAGGGGATAATAAGGAAGGCATCATTTCATTCTTTTTCTCTGCCATTTTATCTATTACAACTTTACATGATAATTTATATGATAATTTATAAGTAACCTTCTGTAACAAGGCATCCACATCAATCTCTGTTGTCTCTATTTGTTCCTCCTCATCCTCCATTAATCTCGGATGTTTACTTCCTCCTTCATTTGTCTCACTTACACTTGATTCAAAACCATTCTCATGCGATGTAACTATATAGTGAATAAATTACAACAATTTCAGTGAACATATCCTAAACATAATTATACAAAATTATTTTGCAGGCCTATTCCTAGCTATTTTCTTGAAATGTATTTTGCCCAGTTCGGGAAATTTTGCTTGTAAAATTGCATGATATTCAGGAAAATTATTAGTTCATTATTAATTTGGAAAAATCTGAAAATATTTAAAAGTTCCATGAATTGATTGAAACTTAGGTTTCTACCTATTGTAACACCTCTCCTATCTGCACAATAATTAATTGCTGTAGCATAGAGCAGACAGGACCGAAGCATGTAATTTGTTGAAAAAAATCTTTTAAAGAAATCTCAGGAAACAGTTTTTATGAACAGACAGACAGACAAACAGACTGTAGGAGACTCTAAAGTTATTTTTTAAACATCCCTGTTACCTAAATATAACAGAGGAGATAACTCTTGAAATAAAGATGCTAGATTTATGAACATTGTCATACATGATGATACCATTTAGTCACAAAGAAGAAAAGTAAAAAATAACAATTTTCAAATATACCATTAACATGAATAGTAACAAAGATGAAAATTAAAAAAAAAAATAAATATAATGTAGGTGTTGATAATGAATGTTTATTTTAAATTTGAAGTAAATCCATGAAGAAATAAGAAAATTAAAGAATGAATAAGAAAAATTCAAAGTTTAAGGAGATAATTCTGGAAATATGGATTCTAGATTTATAAACCTTGTCATATTATAATGATGTGGGAGTTTGAAGTAAATCCTACAAGGAATGAAGAAGTTGGGAGTAAAATATACCAATTTCTCGAAAAAGTTACAGGGGGGCATAATTCTGAAAATAGTCTTGCTAGAGTATTGAACCTTCTCACATATGTTGAGTGATAATAAGAAACATACATAAAAAAACTAGAAATGTGTCCATAGGACACGGATGCCCCCACACGCCACTATTCTGTCAATCTTATGACTCTAGGTCAAATATTTTTTGGACTACATGTGCCACAAGTTGAAAACTAAAAATCAACAAAGGCCATAATTCTGTTAAATTTGGTCGCACCAAAAAAATTCCTTCCTTTACTACCATCTACACATTAAGGTTGTTCATCCCTGGAAGTTTAAGCAAAATCTGCCATCCGGTTAAAGAGGAGTTGCGTTCACAAAATTTCTACATAGTATATAAAGAAAAAATCAACAAAGGGCCATAATTCTGTTAAATTTGGTCGCAGCAAAAATTCCTTCCTTTACTACCATCTACACATTAAGGTTGTTCATCCCTGGAAGTTTAAGCAAAATCTGCCATCCGGTTTAAGAGGAGTTGCGTTCACAAAATTTCTACATAGCATATAGTGAAAAAATCAACAAAGGGCCATAATTCTGTTAAATTTGGTCGCAGCAAAAAATCCTTCCTTTACTACCATCTACACATTAAGGTTGTTCATCCCTGGAAGTTTAAGCAAAATCTGCCATCCGGTTTAAGAGGAGTTGCGTTTCGGGACGTGCGGACAGACGGACGGACGGACGTACGGACACTCGGACGGACAAGTGCAACGCTATACGCTCCCACTCTGTGGGGGCATAATTATGAAGTTTGAAGCAGATACATTAAGAAATAAGGAAGTTATTAAAAAAGAACAACATTTTTTTCATGAAAATTTTAAGTTTAAGGGAGGCAATTCTGATAACTTTTGTGCTAGAATTGTAAACCCTGTCACATATGATGTGGTGGATGACCAGAAACTAATATTTAAAGTTTGAGTAAATACTGTAAGAAATAAAGAAGTTATAGTGAAAAAGCGTAAAAATTGGAATCAGAAATCTTGAAATTCAGTCTATTAGTTGCCATAGCAACCAGAATTTTCAACGTAGGTAAAAAAGAAAAAAGACATGCATAATCTGCATACTGCCATCTGTCCATATATCAAGTTTTATAAAAATATTTCAAGTACTTTTTAAGTTATCGCGGGATCCAGTTTTGTGGACGGACTGACGGACGTACTTACGAAATAGTATTTATGTGACTTTCCCTTTGATCTTTTCAGCCATTTTCAGTCACAAAAGGCTTAAAAAAAGACACACAAGTAAAAACTGAATGAATAGGATCAAAGAGAATTTACTGTTACCCATTGTTCTCCAAGTCACACAAGCCTCTGGGTTTGTACGGACGGATGGACAAAGGGTAAATCTAAATGCCCCCTTTAGTGGGGCACAAAAATGTTTACCCATTCACCATAATCGATATCTTCTTACCAAATAAGAAAGACATCTGCTGTATGGGCAAAAGAGTAAACAAGATTGCATTTGTGAAAAATGCAATGCCAACGCATTTTTTTTTTTTTTTTTTGGGGGGGGGGGGGGGGGGGTTTACGTTACATCGACACAGTATAGGTCATATCGCGACATTCCAGCTTTACTGGTGGAGGAAAGACCTCAGGTGCCCTTCCATGCATTATTTCAGGCACGAACGGGCACCTGAGTAGAACCACCGACGTTCAGTAAGCTAGCTGGATAGCTTCCTCACATGAAAGAATCCAAAGTCCCTGTCGTGATTCGAACCCACAGCGGTGAGGGGCAAGTGCTTTGAAGTCAACGACCTTAACCACTTGGCCACGGACGCCCCTATATGCCACCGCATTAATACAACACTAAATAGTAATATAAGAACAGAAGATTGCCATAATGCATAGATCACTGACCTATCTAATTCTTATTATTAGATTAGTGGTTAAATGAGACTATTGTTATTCAAATAAAAGATCAGAGTAGCAATCTATCAATGCAGTTGAGTCTAGTGAATTTGGTGGTGAAGGTCATATTTCACATGGCCAAAACTCCATGACTGTACATCAAAGGCCAATACAGTAAGACACTTTGTCAAAATCGAGGCCAGCGGATGTCAAATTTCACTTTACATCTTAATCTGTGCACATGGTTCAATCTCGAAGCTACACATTAAAGGACAAAAAAGTAGGTCACATCATCAAAATCTAGGTCACCTGATATCAGAGTTCAATTTTACAAATAAAAATTTGCACAAAGTCCAAATTTCATGGCTGTACATTAAAGGACAAGAAAGTAGGTCACTGTCCCTTTGGGCAAGGCAAAATTTTGACCCAAGGGTTTAATTCAAACAATCTTGATACAGGTCCACCAAACAACATTTCATGTCAAATATCTAAGCTATAGCTTTCTCAAATTCAGAAAACATTTGTTTAAGTTTCTGTTTTTACTATGTGTACATAATGAAAATCAATGCTCCCGTGCAGGGCCAATTTTGACACAAGGGGCAAAATTTGAACAACTTTGGTAGAGGACCTATGGATGATATTATAAAGCAAACATCAAAGCTCTAAGCCTTGTACCTTCAGACAATAAGATTTTTTAATTTTTTACTATATGTACATAATGAAAATCAATGTTCCCTGGGGAGGGGCCAATTTTGATCCCAGGGCTATAATTTGAACAATCTTGGTAGAGGTTCACTACACAAAGTCTCATGCCAAATATCTAACCTCTAGCTTTTTTCAATTCAGAGAAGAAGATTTTTCAAGTTTTTACTATATACATATAAGGAAAACTATCGCCTCTGGGGCAGGGCAATTTTAAGACTAGAGGCACAATTTAAACATCTTTGGTAGAGGACCCATAGATGATATTATATACAAAATATCAAAGCTCTAAGCCTTGTACCTTCAGGCAAAAAGATTTTAAATTTTTACTATATGTACATTATAAGTGACTGAAAATCAATGACCCCCGGGGCGGGGCCAATTTTGACCCCAGGGCTATAATTTGAACAATCATGCTAGAGGTTCACTACACAATGTTTCATGCAAAATATCTAACCTCTAGCCTTTGTCAATTTCGAGAAGATGATTTTTTAAGTTTTTACTATATACATAAAAGGAAAACCTATGACCCCCGGGTTGGGGCTAATTTTGATGCTAGAGGCAAAATTTGAACAACTTTGGTAGAGTACCTATAGATTATATCATATACCAAATATCAAAGCTCTAAGCCTTTTACCTTCAGACAAGAAGGTATTTTAGTTTTTACTATATGTACATATAGTGAAAATCAATGACCCCAGGGGCAGGGCCAATTTTGACCCCAGGGCTATAATTTGAACAATTTTGGTAGAGGCCTACCAGACAATGCCTTATACAAAATATTTATGCTCTACGCCTTGTGGGTCTTTACAAGAAGATTTTTTGAATTTATTCTTATAATTCCTTTTGGTTGCCATGGCAACCAGATTTCTGCATGGAATGAAATTCTTTGAACAACTTTGGAAGCCCTTCACCCAAGGATCAATCCTGCCAAGTTTGGTTGAAATTGGACTAGTGGTTTTTCACAAGAAGTTTTTTTAAGTTCACAATATAATTTATATAACACACAAACATACACACACATACATACAAAAACACAGGTGAATCGCTATATGCCACGGCATCGCAGATGCTGCGGTGGCATAAAAAAAAATTTTTTTTTAACCCCAACTGAACCCTAGCTCAAAGGATGCAAGTAGGTATCAGCGGAAACTGAATTTCTATTTTTAGCAACAGTGACCTTGACCTTAATCAAAGACAAGCAGGTAGCAATCCCAAGCTGCCTCTTGATATAAGCTACCAATACACAAAGTTTGGCACCAAAAGACCAAAGCAAACTCATGTTATTGAGCAGAAACTGAATTTCTATTTTTGCAACAATGACCTTGATCACAGACATTAAGGGAGCAATCCCAAGCTGCCTCTTTATATATGCTATCATTTATGCTAAATTCATGCTGAATTCTAGATTTAGTGTGTATAAACAAGAGCAACGCAAAGATAGGAACCAACTTCTGAATGAAAATTTGTTCTACACTGTGACCACATGTAAAGGTTAGTATTTATCTTACTTACACAATTTACCTTCAAGCTCTTTTCTTATTACTGTGAACAATACAGTATTCCTTAACACAGAAACTTTACACTCAATGCTTAATACTAGCTGGTTCTAGGAAGGAATTTTAGTGCCACTGTCTATATACGTATAGCTTCCTGTACAAACTAAAATAAATTCTGTATAAGTATTCACCTTCATGTATTATGACAGAGTTTGGCATTGTTGATGCCGTCTGTAGACCATCATCTGTAGTTATCTCACCTGCCTCTGTCACATATGTAACATTCTGTAAAAAAAATACATACATTTCAGATGAATGGTCTCACTTATATACAGTAAACAATTAATAATCAAACACTGAAAATGATCAACTTGTACCAGAAAATAATTCAGTGGACAACTCATAAAACCATGGAGTTAAATATAGATGGAGAAGAAACTGTGAGGTCACACATAAGAAGATGTTTCATGCTAAACATCTAAGCTCTAGCTCATTGGGCTTTTTAAAAGAAGATTTTTTTAAAGTTTTTACTATACACATATAGTTAAAAACAATGACACCCCTGGGGCCGGGCCAGGGCTTTTATTTGAACAAACTTTGTAGACACTTACCAGAAGATGTTTCATGCTTAATATCTAAACTCTAGCTATTTGGGTTTTTTCAAAGAAGATTTTAAGTTTTTGCTATACACATATAAAGAAAATCAATGACCCCCGGGGCGGGGCCAATTTTGACCCCAGGTCTTTTATTTGAACAAACTTTGTAGACACTCACTAAAAGATGTTTCATGCTTAATATCTTAACTCTAGCTATTTGGGTTTTTTCAAAGAAGATTTTTTAAGTTTATACTATATGCATATAGGGAAAATCAATGACCCCCCCGGGGCGGGGCCAATTTTGACCCCAGGGCTTTTATTTGAACAAACTTGGTAGACACTTATTAGAACATGTTTGATGCTAAATATCTTAGCCATAGCTCTTTGAGTTCTTTAGAAGAAGATTTTTTAAGTTTTTACTATATGCATATAGGGAAAATCAATGACCCCCCGGGGCGGGGCCAATTTTGACCCCAGGGCTTTTATTTGAACAAACTTGGTAGACACTTATTAGAACATGTTTCATGCTAAATATCTTAGCTCTAACTCTTTTGGTTCTTTAAAAAGAAGAATTTTAAGTTTTTTACTATATGCATATAGGGAAAATCAATGACCCCCTGGGGCGGGGCCAATTTTGACCCCAGGGCTTTTATTTGAACAAACTTGGTAGACACCTATTAGAACATGTTTGATGCTCAATATCTTAGCCATAGCTCTTTGAGTTCTTTAAAAGAAGATTTTTTAAGTTTTACTATATGCATATAGGGAAAATCAATGACACCCTGGGCGGGGCCAATTTTGACCCCAGGGCTTTTATTTGAACAAACTTGGTAGACACCCATTAGAAGATGTTTCATGCTAAATATCTTAGCTCTAGCTCTATGGGTTCTTTAAAAGAAGATTTTTTAAGTTTTTACTATATGCATATAGGGAAAATCAATGACCCCCTGGGGCGGGGCCAATTTTGACCCCAGGGCTTTTATTTGAACAAATTTGGTAGACACTCACTAGAAGATGTTTCATGCCAAATATCTAAGCTCTAGCTCTATGGGTTTTTTAAAAGAAGATATTAAAAGTTTTTTCTTTTGGTTGCCATGGCAACCAGAGTTCTGCATGGAATTAAATTCTTTGAACAATTTTTAAAGGTGACCACCAAAGAAACATTCCTGTGAAGTTTGGATGAAATTGGCTTAGTGGTTTATGAGGAGATGTCATTTAAAGTAAAAGTTTACGGATGGATGACGGACGACGGACGGACAGACGCCGGACGGACGCCGGACGAAAAGCGATCACAAAAGCTCACCCTGTCACTTTGTGACAGGTGAGCTAATAAAAAAGTCATTCAATACCCACCCCTTCATCATCTTTAACTGTTGTGACACCTTGTAATACAGCCTCTTCAGGACTCAATCCTTGTTGCTTGATTATGTTTAAAGCTATTTTACCTGCCTCTGAAAATATTAAATATTATAATTTGCATTTCTTGATGCATAAAATATTAATGGGGCTATAAAAATGTTTTATTGCTCATCAGTAGTAAAGACTGCAATAACTTTCATCTAGGGCTCATTATGACACAAGGAAGAAAACTATCTTCTTAGCCTCAATCACCTTAACTATGATCAAACAATATCAAACCTCAAAATCAAACTCAGTTACCACATTAAAGATATCAAAATACCAAACAGCTCATATGAAGATAAACAAGACCTTTTTATGAACACGCCACTTTTCTCAGTGCTAAGTGATAGTTAAACAAGAGCCAACACTTGTAAGTAACTAACATAAGCATCACAAAGGCAGGGCAATAAATGGACAAGTGGTGGGCCAATTTTGACCCCAGGGCTATAATTTGTACAATCTTGCTAGAGGTTCACTTCACAATGTTTCATGCAAAATATTTAACCTCTAGCCTTTGTCAATTAAGAGAAGATGATTTTTTACTATATACATATAAGGAAAACCTATGAACCACGGGGTGGGGCTGATTTGACACTAGAGGCAAAATTTGAACAACTTTGGTAGAGTACCTATAGATGATATCATTTACCAATTATCAAAGCTCTAAGCCTCCTACCTTCAGACAAGTAGGTATGTAATAGTAACCATACGAGAAATAAGACCGAGAGAACATAGCGATGGAGGTTTTTAAAAGGCCACCGGGTCTGTTTATACTATGCAGACCTATTAGTAACGACTTTATTTAACGAGGCTTACACATTCGGTTTCCCGATCTTCCATGTGGGCCTCAGCATAACATAATTACAATCAGTTTACATGTACACAACATATACACAACATATATACACAAATATTATTAAAATAGATCAATTAAATTGAAGTAATGATTGATAAAGCAAAAAATGGTATGATTGTACAACAATACAGAGAAAAAGAGCAATATGTACAGATAGGTAAAACTAACATAGTACCTGTTTAAAACAATATTCAGTTCCTATTTAAAACAATATTTATACTTAAAAATACACCATGGAAATTCAAATGATAATGTAAGTGATATTATTATCTAATACATATTGGCTTGATCATGAGTTATTTTAAAATATTACTAAAATATATCTATATATATACATAAATTTAAGTTCAATTGGAGTAGGAAATCATCATTTGGCATCATTGAATCATAAATTTTCCTATTGGGAAAATATGGGACAAAAGAAAAGGAACCATAACAATAGTAATATAGTAATAATAAAAATACATATAAGTAATTTATACAACAGGAATAAATTTAACAGCTAGTTTAAGGTGAAAACTGCCATTTGATATAAGCTGATTGAAATTTTCCGAAGAGTATCGGAATTTCTTATATGTACTGGTATGTCATTCCAAATTTTTGGACCAGAGTATGCAAATGATTTTCTGAAGAATTCTGTTTTAGGTTTTGGTATAATTAGCTTTGCATTTTGTGCTGATCTGAGATTTAAGTTGTGCCTTTCATTTACTGTCTGGAATTTATTTTTCATATATGTTGGAAAGTCAGGTTCATTAATTGATTTATACATAAGAATTGACTTTTTGTATATGATTCTTTGGTCAAAAAGACATCCAGTTTAATTCTTTGAATAATTCACTTGATGGTGTATCAAAATTTTTGTCAAGGAGTATTCTTGCTGCCCTTTTTTTGAAATTTAATGACATCAGATAGTAATTCGTTATTGCAGTTTCCCCAAATACTACAACAGTAGTCCAAGTGAGGCAGTATGTATGCATTAAAAAAAAGTTTTCTTGAATGAAGATTAAGAACTGTTTAAGTCTAAGAAGTAAATACAGCTGTGAGTTGCATTTTTTTTTATGGTTGACTGGACTGTGTTTTCCATTTAAGATTGTTGTCTACATACATTCCAAGTAGTTTTTCAGTGTTTGTATATTCTATTTTCTTGATTATTAAGAAACAAAGTAGGGGTTGCATATTATCTGTTTTTGTGCTTTTTATTGATAAATGCATAGCTTTAGATTTCTGAGCATTCAGAACCATTGCATTTTGCATGCACCATGTGTTAACATTATCAAGATCTTTTTGAAGGTTGCTGTTTACTTCTTGTAAAGTATTGCCAGTAGTTGTCAGAGAAGTGTCATCTGCAAACATATCAGTAATTGATTGTTTTGATATGAAATGGTAGATCATTTATGAATATAATGAATAGAAGGGGCCCAAGGACTGAGCCTTGGGGTACACCTGAGACAACTTCAGCTGGTTCAGATAATACACCAGAAACATTTACTTTTTGATACCTGTCTGACAGATAAGATTTAATCCAATTTATAGCTTGTGAAGAGAGATGATAAAAAGGTAGTTTTTCAAGTAGTAGGTTATGGTTTACTAAGTCAAATGCCTTAGATAGGTCCAGAAAAAGTGTACCAACAAGTTTGCCATTGTTTTAGTGTATTGATCCAGTTATCAACTATATTTGTAAGTGCTGTTTCACAGGAGTGGCTTGTTCTGAAACCGGACTGTGTAGTGAAAAGTAAATTATTATTTTCTAGAAAGCATTTCAAATGGTCTGATACATGCTTTTCAAATATTTTTTAGAAATAAGTGGAAGTATTGATATTGGTCTATAGTTATTTTTGTCTGATTTTGACCCTTTTTTTGTAGACAGGTATAACCTTTGATTGTTTAAGCTGTGTTGGGAATTTTCCATGTTCTATACTTAGATTTATTACAGAACAGAGAGGTTTACAAATGACGTCTGAGGCTGTTTTTAGGAATTTTGCACTTATGCCATCTAAACCAGTTGCTTTTGTAATATCAAGACTGTCCAACTTTTGTTTGACATAACTTATTTCAACAAAGGGTATTTTGAATTTATAAGAATGATTTGGAGTGTCAGATTTCAGAGAATCATTTAAAGCGGTTTTCATAGAATCTGATAATTCATTAATGTTTTCAGCCTTTTTAAATATATTTGCAAAAAAGTTGTTAAAAGTTTCTGCTGTTGATTTTGGGTCAGTTATTGGTGAACCATTCTCATCATTTATGTAGTTTGTTTGATGATTTTCTGTTTTGCCAGATTGAATTTTTAAGTTTTTCCATAATTTTCTAGGGTTTTTCTTGTTTGAGTTTATCTCTTGTTCAAAGAAATCTGTTTTTGCTTTATGTGTTAATGTTTTTACTTGTGATTTCCAGTATTTGAAGTCATGAATATTATTTTTCTTTTTTGCATAGTTCCTTTTTTGTATTGCATCAGCTATATCATCATTAAACCAATCAGCTTGGTTTCTATGTTTTTACTCGTTTCTGCTTGTATGGAGCATGCTTATCTAAAGTTTGTAAAAAAATTTGTTAAATGTATCTAAAGCATCATCTGGATCACTAAACATGTCAATGAGAGACCATGGCTGCTCTGACAATTCATGTACGAAATTTTCTGCATTAAAGTTCTTTAAGTACCTATATTTTATAGTGGCATGCATTGGACCTTTGATAACAGTTTTAATTGTTCGTCGTGTGAAAAATATAGGATAAATGGTCGCTTATAGAGAGTATAGGGACTGCAGTGTAGGATACATTATGTGGCTGGTTACTGTAAATATGGTCAATAGTGGTTGAAGTCAATGGTGTGACTCTTGTAGGATGTGTTATAAGTTGAGAAAGGTTTAAATGTGTTAATAATATTATTCCACCTTGTATTATTTGAGCAATTTGTAACAAAATTATAGTTGAAATCTCCAAAAAAGAATTAATTCTTTGTTTTCAATAAATATTTTATCAAGGATTTCTTCAATTTTATCATTCCATGATGCCAGTGATGAAGGTGGCCTATAGATGTAACCCACCAGAAATGGTTTCTGTTTTGTCAAGTTTTATTTCAAGCCATATTGACTCAATATCCTCTGATTCTAAGTCAGATCTTAATTCACATGGTATTGTAGACTTAACATATAACACAACTCCACCACCATTTGATATCCTATCGCGTCTAAACAGTTGATAATTTTTTAAACATATCTCTGAATCAGAAAAAACATCACTAAGAAAAGTTTCTTGTAGTCCCAGAATGTCTATATCTTGATATTTGTCTACCAGGTGTTTTACTTCATCTATTTTGGATAAAGATAGTGGATATTTAAGTGCATAAAGTTAATACCTTTTTTGTCAAATTGTATTTCATCTAAAATGGGACTTGTATTTACTTTATCATTGTCTTCATTGTCTTCTGTCAGAGAAAGGTTATGTGATGATGTTCTATCAGTGACATTTTTCACAGTCTGTTTTGGTTCAGTATTGGCTATAGCTGAATTATCAAGTACAGTGTTATTTACCAGTGTGGCATCATCCAAGGTGTTCTGGGCCAGGGATTCCAGGCATCGCGATATGGGTTTCTCCGAAAATGTCTCTGCCTGCTGTGGACGTTGTGAAAATTTCCTTGCTTTCTGGAAGTATTATTGGTACTTGAGTAATTTCTGTGTACAAGTTCTTGGTTGGTGATGCCGAGGATATCTCTAATTCCTGCATTTAGCTGTTTTCCTAGCAAGACTGAGCCTTCTTTATTTAGATGTACCTCATCATAGAAGAGGCCTTGATTGACTTTATCGTCTGTCATGAATGCATTAGCACTGTTGATGAAAACAAATTCCCCTTTTTTGCAAAGTTCTTCAAGAAGGCTGTTTGTTTGAAGGATATTTCTTTTAGACAACATGTCTCTCTTTTTTGGTAGGATAGAGGATATGGCAATTTTTGCCTTTTGATTTGCAGATTGCAGTGAATTTACCAGGGTTTTGAAATCCTCACATATTGTTGTTGGGGTGTCAGCATTTGAGATATTGTTTATGCCTGCCTGTATTATGATGATATCTGCTTCTTTAGCAAGGTTTGTTTTCATTTCAGAAGTTGCTTTGTGGATGTCTAAGATAGTTGCACCCCTATTTGATTTGATGTTGACATTTATATTGTTTTTGCTCATCTTTCTTCCCACCAGGCCTTTCG